GACAACTCCATGTGAAACTGTTTGATAGCCCGAACATAATCTTCTTTCGTATGAAACTCGTCACCCTCTTTTAGTTTCCCCTCTGTTGTGTAGTTGGGGTTGTAGAAAACATCCGTCGAGGGTTCATCATCACCTAAGGCAATAGTAGTCATGTGTTGAGGTGGACAATAGACATTGCCATGTTGAACTTCATCCTCCGGATTGTTCACCATCTCGTCAACAATGACTTTAGTTGCTTCTTCTTCTTCGTCAACGACATTGACTTCAGGGTAATCATCTTCAGAATCACAAAAAAACTTGAGACGAATCAAGTTGCTGAGACAATTGTTGTTGTTGTAACATAACATATAACATGATATCTGAGAACCCAGAATACTCGTGACTGCAGAACATGTTACGCACATCTTCATCGTTTCGCACCTTTAAAGGGAAAATTTTGCATGAATCAGGTCCGCCAAAAAATACTGGGTTTTTGTATATTATTTTCCCAACTGGACCACATTGCAGTTTTTTTTCTATTCTTGACTTCAGGTGTAAAAAATTAGACCTTCTGTCAATTAAAAATCTTGTAACATCCCTGCTTCTGAAATTGTATCCCGACACTTCACATTCGAAAACTTCACCGCTCAGATGAGCGGAAATCATATATTGTGGTGTTTGAGACATAGTGAAAAATGTGGTGTTTGAGTGTTTGAATGTTTGAGTGTTTGAGTGTTTGAGTGTTTGCGTGTTTGAGGGTCTGAGTGTTTAATATGTTTGATTGTTTGAGTTTAGAGAGTTTAAAGGCTTTATAAAATGGGCTGAGTGTTTGATTGTTTAAAGAGTTTAAAGATTTTTTTACATGTATCAGTAAATGAATCTGTAATTTTCACATGTGACCCTGTGAATCAATGACCATGCATGCAGGCCTACGCGGTTCTCTTTTTCTATGCACCAGGACACTTGTCACGCATGCTTCACAATCAATGACAGCATCAGGACTTGAACATGACACTTGATAAGATCTGACAATGCAAAGTTCTACTTTCACATGTGATACCGCATCAAGAATCTCTGCCTTTCACTTGTCACGCATGTTCCACAATCAATGACATGCATCAGGACTTGAACATGACACTTGATAAGACGTGACAATGCAAAGTTCTGCTTTCACATGTGATACCGCATCAGGAATCTCTGCCTTTCACTTGTCACGCATGCTTCACAATCAATGACACGCATCAAAAATCAATGACATGCATCAGGACACTAGCCACACATGCGTTTACAACCATCATAACCTATCATTCATAAAAAAAACAATATGTCTTGATCCTTGAAAAAAAACATAATATGAAAAAATCACACTACGTTTAATAAAAAAATCAACCTAAAAAATCAACGACGGAAACATGTGAAACACAAAGCCTTGATATGCAATCAATGACATGCAGCCTATTTGATTAGACGAGACAATGAATGAATCTTCTTTTCACATGTGTTCCTGCATGCCTACATTGACCATGCAGGCCTACGAGACTCTCTTTCTGCATGCATCAGGACTTGATAAGACGGGACACTGCATCCACCATGCTTGATTAGACGAGACACTGCATAAAAAAGACTCTGTATCTAACATGCATTTACACATCACATGCATCATGACACTAGTCCAACATGCATTTACACAACACATGCATTATGACACTAGTCCAACATGCATTTACACAACACATGCATCACGACACTAGTCCAACATGCATTTACACAACACATGCTTCAAGCCACTTATGAAGCATGCATTTACAACATATCCACTCATGGAATATAAATATAGGGTCTTTACCCATCAAATTCTACTCACACTTAAACTCTCCTACTCTCCTACTCTCAACCCTCAGCTCTCAACTCTCAAACTCTCAAACTCTCCTACTCTTAACCCTCAGCTATCAACTCTCAAACTCTCAAACTCTCAAACTCTCAACCTCTCAAACTCTCAACTCTCAAAATCTCAAACTTTCAACTCTCAAACTCTCAACTCTCAAACTCTCAAATCTCAAACACAACATCTCTAAATCTCAACATCCCAAACGACAATGTCTTTACTCACCATGGGTGACTCTCACAGAGGGACGGCTGAAAACATCGCTGAGTTTGTAAGTCTTTTGTTCTTGTAAATGTTTACAATTTTGTCTAAAAAAATGTTAGTAATTTTACTTCTTCTCTAACGTAACATTCATTATTCTGCAGGATGTATCAAGGTTTCGACGTCGTGTGCATGATTACATACCACACGACCCGCTCATTACGAACTACCTTACTCCTTGTGGGTTTGGTGATTTGATCGAAATCAAATCTTACTCCCTCGACATGAAATTTATTCTAGCATTGTTAGAACACTAGAGACTGGAGACACATACATTTCACCTACCTTTTGGTGAGTGTACTATGACTCTTCAGGACGTTTACATGTTGCTCGACCTACACATCGATGGTAAGGCCGTCAACGGCAAAGTTGGTGTCCCTGACCGACTTTGCGAAGATTTATTGGGCGCCCCTCTTTGTACAGACGGACCTCAGGCGAAAAGCGAGGGCCGCCCGAGGGGGTCAGGGAATTAATTTAAAATACCTTAGAGAACAATACAACTGTATTGTCTTAACTGATGATAGCACCGAGTATGAGAAAATACTCAAAACTCGGTGCTATATTATGATTTTATTCTGGCACTTTTTATTTCCAAATGGCACTGGAAATACCGTCCATACTATGTATTTACCATTATTGCGGAATATTAACAAAGTATGCGAATATAGTTGGGGATCAGCTGTCTTCGCCCATCTACATAGCGCACTTTGTAAAACTTCAAAAAAAAATTCCTGTACTTTTTATGGTTGTGCTTATCTTCTGCAAGCGTGGGGCTGGTCTAGGATGCCAATGCTTGCTCCAATGAACAGGAATTCTTTTATGTTCCCGTACGCCAACAAGTAAGTATCTTTTCAAGATTATTTAGCAACTACATATTCTTTTTCAGTTAATAATTTCTGAGATGTGTTTATTTTTTTAGGTGGTCTGTTCCAGGGATGAATTATCAGAGATGTCCAAGGCACTCTATAATTCAATACCGCAACCTAATCGACAACCTTGGGCCAGATGATGTAAGTTATTTACCATTAATTTTTTTAATGTATATGCATAAACCTCTCAAACTCTGTCTAACTTAATTGTCCAACTTTATTGTAGTTTGTCTGGATGTCGTACGAGGGTCTCGACCACGAGCCCAACCCCGACGTTGCCGCTATGTGGACATCAAAGACACCCATAGTTAGGTTCACTACGGTGGAGATGCACCAAAGTGACCGGGTGAAACTACAATTTGGGATGCATCAGGATATTCCAGACGCTCCAGTAGACTTGGGGCAGTGGCATCAAAAGCGGGTAGACACACAGTGGAGTGTCAGTGATTGGAACGAGTTTGCGAAGGAGTTTGCGAAGGAGTTGCGTATACACTGGAAAAGAAGAAGGCAATACGTCTTAACCGACCGTATTGTGCACGGGGCTAGGCCAAGTCTTCAATATATGACTTGGTTTAGGTCTGTCACGACATTTCAGCCTTTCTTGTCCCAGCCAACCTATTTGACCGACCCAAGGGAACACGATTCTTCGTCAAACCCACAACAACAGTTCAGTGCCCAAAACCAGCCTTACGAAAACCCATACATGCCAACAAATACCCCCTATAAACAACGACAAACTTACATGCCACCCACCCAATCCCAGCCTCAACCATCTTACCATTACAGCCCTGATACCTCTTTTGAGCCTACCCCCTCCACCTATAGCCCAGACAACTCATTTGACCCTACCCCCTCCAACTACACCTCCAACTACCCCTCCAACGACCCCCCAAACTATCCATTATTCGACTACCACACCCCGCAACAACCAACACACCTAGACCAACCCAACTCCATGTACACATTCGGACAACCATATCGTCCATACTCCACCCAACCTCCCCGACAATCCTTCAAAAACATGGGCATCGAGCTTGACTACGGAAGCGCCGTTGACAATGGACTTCCCGGCTATTGGGGTCAAATGATGCAAACTCTATCTGATACGTCGGGGTCGTCCCAACCATACTCTCCTCCACAACTCAACACACAGAGACCGGACACACCACAACAACCTCGTCGTAGACCTCGTCGCAACGCGCGTCCCTCACAATGTGGCACCGGTGGTCACTTGGATAGAGCCGGTCATTAGTTTTTTTTCTTTTGTTCAATTGTAATTATACTTTTCATTAGATTCTAAATTAATATAATTTATTATTTCTATATTTTATTTTAACATTTCTATATTTAATTTTTTCTTAATATTATTTAAATTTCAATTAATTATGAAAAACAAACAACATAATTTAATAACATATATTTATTAAAACCTAATTAAAATATTTATTAAAATATGTATAAATTTAATAACAATTACCATTCAAATATTTACACAAACAATTTATTAAAATATTTATAACAACTATAAAAAAAATTAAAATTAAATCATAATCAAATTTTGATTTGATTTAATAAGAATTCATTTTACATTAATAATTAAAAATAAAGTATTTATTAATTGAAATTAATTAAAAATAAGGTATTTAAAAAATAGAATAAAATATTAATTGAAATTAAAAACATAATCAATTATTTAAATTTATTAAAAACTGATAATAATATAAATCAAACCAAAAATCTAGAATGGCCTGATTCATCAATTAGGATGGCGAAAGCATTTAACAATGGCCTCATTCGCCAATCAACATGGCGAATTCATCATTTTTTGACCAATTTGAATAATTTTTTAAAATATTAATTATAATGATAAATACTATTTAATATATAGTTATTATAAAAAAAATTGACTACTATATCATTGAATATTCTCAGAATGTTATTATAGACCAAGAACTAGCAAGCATATCAACAAACGCCATAACAACATCTCTTTATACCTCAAACTCATGCCTCCTCCAATTCCCACATTCTCTCAACTTTCTCAACCTTATCATACCCTAATCAAAATCCCCCTTTTCACCATCAAAGCCAACAATAATAACAGCATTAACCCCTCTCTCACCAATTCCTTCATCAAACACACAACAAAAAACCTCATTGATTTTAAAGACAAAACAACTAAGTTTCGACTCAAAAACCTTGTTCGAAACATCACATCATTATCCTCATCCAAAAACAAAACCCATATACTACAAAAAATCCTAGACAAAGATGCTGATGGGTTTCAAATCCAAACCATATCAGATTTCAATCACCTTCTCATGGCTCTACTCATTGCACAAGAGCTACAACTTTGTCAAACAGTCTTCACAAAGTTATCATCTTTTCATCTTGTTCCAGATTCTTGCACTTACTCCATCATGATAAGGTGCCACTGTGAGAAAAACGACGCGGAAGAAGCAAAAAGACTACTTTTTACTGTTATCGAAAATGGGTTTGAACCAGATGCTGCAACCATCACTGTTTTAATGAATTCCCTTTGCAAAAGAGGGAAAGTGAAGAAAGCTGTGGAGGTTTTTCAATTCATGAAGAGAAAGGGTTTGAAGCTTGGTGTTCAATCATATAACTGTTTGTTGAAAGGGTTGTGTTATGTGGGAAGGGTTGAAGAAGCAATTGAGATTTTGATGAGAATGAAGGAGACAAATTTGGGGGTTGATGTTTATTCTTATAATGCTGTTATGAATGGATTATGCCAAGTCGGTCGTTCGGATGAAGCGATGACGTTGTTCAATGAAGCTATTGGAATTGGATTGGTGCCTAATGTGGTTACTTTTAACGCGTTGATTTTAGGGTATTCGAGACAATGTAGACCAGTGGAGTGTTTTGGTGTTTTGAAGATGATGAAGGAACATGGATGTGTTCCGGATTGTATTAGTTATAGTACTGTTTTACGCGGATTGTTGAAGTGGAATGAAGTTGTGGCGGCGCTTTGGGTTTATAAGGAGATGGTGGAGATTGGATTTGAAGTTGATTTGAAGATGATGGTGACTTTGGTGAGGCGTTTGTGTAAGAAATCAAGGAGGGAAAAATGTTTGATTGAGGATGCATATGAAGTGTTTGAGAAAATGAAAGAGAAGGGTTTAGTTGTTGATAAGAGGACAATGGAGGTGATGGTTGAGGCATGTTGTAGGGGGGAGAAGTTTGATGAGGCTTTGGTGAGTTTGAATGATATGGTTAGGTGGGGTTATTCTCTTGAGGCGATTGGGTTTGAGAAAGTGATTAGAGGACTTTGTAGGCAGGGTAGAGTGGATGAGGCGGTGTCAAGTTGGCTTCTTTTGCGTGCAAATGGAGGGATTCTTGATAGAAATTGTTTTGAGGTGTTGGTTAATGAAGTTGATGCACATGGGAGAGTGTTTTGTGGTTCTTTTTTGTTTGGTCTTGCATTGAAGCAAGGTGTTGTTCTTGTTCCAAATAAGGAGCTGCATGATGATAAAAGGTGTTAGCAAACATTCAGGTACTCGGTCAGTGACATTTTCTCACGTCTTGAGGGTTGTTCGCGGTGAACTTTTCAAACCAACTACTTGATGTTTCACTTCTAATGTGCAGTTTCACAGCGATTCATACATTTTCCAAGCACTCTTTAGTCAATTCAAGTAGGCTTAGTGATGTCAAAATGGATATTGACTTTGCTTGTGTATACATGTTGCTTGTTGGAAAATGGATTGTTCTTGGATTAGATACCAAATGCTTGGTTCGATTATTTAGCTTGCAGAGCAAGTATGATTAGAAACATAAGAAGATATTTTGATCAAACTGTAAAGTAATAAAAAGGAAGGATCAATGTTGTATGAAATGTGTTCTTAATATCATTGATGTGTGTTGATCATATAAATATGAGAAGGAATCTGTACAAAGAATTGAAACAGGAAGTTGTTTTAGGAAAAGAAAGGAAGTTAATTACTAGGAACCTAATTTGTTTATATAATATAAAGATTATTCAATACAAATGATAATGCTAAATTATTAAATTTTAAGTTTGCTGTGTATTTTATATATGCGCCCATGATATCTCCAAGTTGGAGATGAGACAATTAAAAATTCAACTTTCCACCAAATCATTATACTGTTGTCAAGTAGAAATTTCATCATTCTTCTTTAGAATGAGAAGTGAACCATCAAGAAAATCAAATTTTGTCATTGTTCAACTCCATAAATCATGAATGTTACTAGGTTGTTCATGTTATAATTTAGTAAAAAAACGAAACCGAATCAAATCATAGAAAAAATTTACTCAAACAGAATCGAACTGTTTCAAATTACTCAGAATAGAATTGAACCATAATTATTGATTTGGTATACCATTTTAAAATTTTGAACCATATCGAACCGTTAGAAGTTATTTTTTTCAATCTGAACCATTTATTAAAGATCCAAAAAAATTTAAATTTGATTCACTAACCAAACATAACGGTTCGATTATTTTAACTTTAGTTTAGTTCGATTTCAGTTTAATTTGGTTCTAAAATTATTTGTGCAAAATAATTTAGTTCACTGATCAAATATAACAGTTTAATGGTTTTTAGTTTGGTTTAACAATTCAACTCATAGTTTTTTTCAACCACCCTAAATGTTACATGTCAACAAAAGGATAAGAAAGAACATTTGACGAGCTATATGAACGATGAATGACACAAATCTTTGTTTATAGTGATTGTTGATATGATGTGATGACTTTTCATGAAGTGAATCTTATGTTTCTTCCTCTAGCTCATGGTTCTATTCCTCTGCTCATCTCGTTTCTTGTACTTTATTAGTGAACAATAATTGTCTTCTGTGAGCAAAATGATTTATAATGCTCTCGAATTTCCTGTAAATGAATTTTATAGGTTTTAATTTACATGAAGAATAAACTTTTATTCTTGAAGAAAAATTTCTTAGCAACCGTACGGAAAAACATTAGCTACTGTGAGGGCGACATTTCATGCACCACAATCATGCTGAAGAATAATGCCGCAGCCCGCAAGAGCCTTAGTTTCATAACTAACTTACAAGTTACAACAAAATTTTAACTTATGCTTTGATACACAGTCAATTTGCTATGTTTAGTATTACATATGCTACATGTTGTAAAATAACAAAATAAATAATGAAACTCTGAACTTCAATCGACGACAAAACTTGATGTGAAATCTTACGCACGGCCCATGTACTGCCCAGATCTTGTATCAACCAGTATTTCTTCACCTACATTTATAAAGAGCGGAACATTGACAGTAGCACCAGTGTCAAGAGTTGCTGGCTTTGTTCCACCTGTCAATTCAATCAAATTTCATTTACAATAAGTTCTACAAGAAAACGCAAGACAAAAGGCGACATATGACAAGAAAAAAGGGAATGTTGTTATTAGTATACCAATTTGTTCTGCCTTTTTTAGCTTTTACAATAATATGATAATTATTAGTTGAGATTCGCACTCCTTGATTTTGTTGTTTTAATACCAAATTGTGAATTACAGGGTGCATTAAGGGAATGTTGTGAATCAGACAATTTGATCATTTTAGTGTAACAAGAACTTTCTTGGCTGCATATAGGGCTGGCATTAACAATGGTCTGAGAGAAATTAGCAGTATAAAAAATGGATTTACCTTGGACTGTGTCACCCCTAAGTCCGGGATCCGCATTGACTATCTTAAGCTTGACTGTTATAGGGAGATCAACATCAATAACCTGAAAAACATCAACATAAAATAAAAAACTATGGGATTTGCAATACATTTTAAATTGGTTTAATACATTAGCAACTATGAAATATGAATTGATACTTTCCTCCATTGGAACATATAATAATCAAGTTAATTTAAGTTTTCAAAAATTTGAGCCCACTTTTTGTCTTAGAACACAGTTACCTATATTTATCATGATCATCAATAATGACCTAGAAAAAAAGGTTTGAGAATGTGAAAGATCGTAATAAATTATGAGATGAAAAGGTTACTTTTCCATTCCATAACAGCAAATTGCAGTCCATTCCCTCTTTCAGCCACTTTGTTTTGTCCCCAACTTCTGATTCATCCAGACGAGTCTCCTCGTATGTACTCTGATAATACAAAACTAACATAAAGTAAAAAAATAAAGGGCATGGCCTGAAAGCAAAAAAAATTGCTGGAATAGAGAATTTGAACCTAATTAGACTAACTTTTCATCATAATTGAGTAATGATAGGAAGTAATTATAATATTTGTTAAGAATAATAATATAGATATCTACAGTTAGATTATATAATTAAGGATTCAAGTTTCCGGATGATACCAAGTCCATGAAGACAAACTGAACACCATCTTTATATGTGAACTGTTTTGTTTCCTTGACTATATCTGCTTTATCAATCTGTCAAGAGGAAATAGAACAGACAAGTTAAAAACAGAAGAGGTAAGTCCCATTAAGAAGATAGAAGCAGCAGATTGATAGAGAGACAGGACTCTTATAATACATCGAAATTTAAGTGTCATGCCATCACTAAAGACTCCTGCCACTCACATAAATGAGTTAGATTACCTTAGCAATTCACATATGATTCTTCTTTTTCATGGCTTCATATTTTAGGTACATAATTTATGTTGAAACTCCCACTCATTGCTACAAATGCAATCTATATCACAAATTCACTATTCAGCTCCTAATTCCCACTTTCCCACTCACATATTAATTGCCACAGATGCAATTTAATCACCATTCACTTTCTTCACCCATTTTCAAACTCTCATCACTTTTATTATTTTATATATGTATTCTAAATGTATTGTATTGGATACATATAAGTATGTATCCTATATTTTTCAAGGAACAGCGCTTCACTGTATTGGATATGTTTAGTCCCTGATTCTCATAGTGTGTCCTCATTATATTTAGGCACACATTATAAGACAAACAGCAGAAGACCCTCCACACTAAGTTGCACAGTACTTGTATAACAAATGACAGATAGATTGAGTCACCAACATAGCTCAGGCCCGACAATCTGTTTCCATTCTACCTCCACAAATTGGGGCTTTTTGCCCATGAAAGTAGGTAGAACGCAAGTTTTGAATACAATCATATAAACAGATTCAGAATTAATTTGCAAGATCCCCAGAGTGAATATGAGCAGGTAAAACTCTTATTTGTGAATGTGGGGAAAACCGTGCCTTTACCAAACTTAACCTAAATACCTAATAAAAGACTCATATACAAAAGCTTGTTATGCAATTTCTGCCCCATAAAAAAAGAGGGTTTCCAGTTGAGACAAAAGACTGAAGCAAAACACAAGTTGAACATGCAACGGACAAAGAAACCCAAAATTTTGGCTTTCCAATTAGCCTCGATAGAAAGTATTATAATTGATTTTGTCTTCGCAAAAATAGAGGTGTTTGGAAATCGTTAAGTTAAATTAATTTTGCATCCGGACCTTGGTTTGACAAGTAATAAAAATTACTTCTGATTGAGTTGAAAGATTAAATTTTACATCAAACTGGATTTCAAAGTAAAAAAAGCCAAACCAAACATAAACCATTTCACTTCAAACTCAAATGTAACTAAATCAATATTACCAAAGCCGGAGAATAAGGCAACTAACGCCCTAACTAACTTTATGCCCACTAGCAAAAAACACTTCTATTAGTATTTATAAAGCAAGGTCACACATGTTGGCAAAAAGACCCAACCTTAAAGCATGCGATGATATTTATAAAACAAAAAAGCTCACACATGTTGACAAAAAGGTCCAATCTCTCTCAAAGTTTGATTTAGGTCTCACTCACCATTAAGCTGGTCCTAACTCATAATCCATTAAACTCAGTAGCGGCGCTATAACACCGTCGCATAGCGGAATTGGAATAAATCATGATTTACCACAATCCACAATTGATAACGCGGCTTACTCAAACACACACTCAATCAAGTTTCTTCTTTCTTAGGATAAATAAAAAAGAAGAAAGGCAACTATAATTACAACAAGTTTATCTCCCTCTACCCCCTCCCCAAAAAGAATCTAACCAAACTTAAACATCCAAGGGACTTTAGAGCTATGAAGCACGAACGGAAACACAACACCAACACATCGACACCAGTAATAATTTTTTAAAAATAAATAAATTAAGTGTAATCATAAGTGTCGGTGTCGGTTTGAAACAGAGACACCCACACACATTTTTTCAGAAGTGTCATTTTTCTATTGAATCCACTAACCAACGCAACAAGGTGAAATCAAAAAGGTTTTACAAACACTAGGATGCATTACCGAACTTCCAGCTCTGAAGGTCTTCTCAACAGTATTTCCTGAAAGATAATTCTTGAGCTTGGTCCTCACAAATGCCGCACCTTTTCCAGGCTTAACATGAAGAAACTCTAAAAAAAAAAACAATGCAAAACCCAATTTAACAAACACTTAAAATGCAATCGAAATTACAAAAACAAATGTTAATATAAAAATACCTATCACACGCCAAGGTGCACCATCAACTTCAAC